CCCTCTCCTCCAAACAAGCTTCAGCTCAAGCTAACAAAAACCCACCGCGAACAGATCGTCCTCGAAACCGAAATCACCAACACGGCCGCCATCAAGCTCTACGAACGGCTAGGATTCCTGCGCAGCAAGCGGCTCCATCGGTATTATCTGAACGGGAACTCGGCTTATCGGCTGGTGTTATATCTCAAGGAAGGCGTGGGGTCGATGCGCACCACGCTCGATCCTTATGGGGCTGGGGCGGCGCCAGCCTCGGGTCCGCCGTATCCCCTTCCTCTGCCCGGCGGCGGCGGTGGTGGTGGTGGTGGTGGTGGTGGTGACCCATCACGAGGGGTAGGAGGAGGGGCGGAGATGACGGGGGCGCTGGCGGCGCCGGAACCGGCCTTGCTGCATGAGAATGGCAGTGGGGGGTGGTAGGTGGCCACCTGGCTAGGCGAAGAAGTGGACACAGGCAGTATTCAAAGGAGCCTACCCCAAAGACACGATTGCTCTATCCCTCACATGTCTAACCTTTTCCAGCGAGGGCCGAGCTGGGCGGGATATATTAGACCACAGTCGTTTCCCATGCACTCATTCCGACTGCACCCCTCCCTTCACCCAAATGACCTACTAATGATTATGTGTATGCATGTGATGAAAATGATTGATGTTTCTTTGCTTGGAACTTGGTGACGTCGGAGGGGGGCTGGGTGGGGTGGCATCGTGCTGCAGATCATCAATTGCATTTGGCTGGAACCCACTTGTTATAGATTCAGTATGGCATTTAGAAATTCTTGTTTTCTTGGCCTGGATTGCACTTTCACAGATTCCCCAGTGTTGTTGTCTTTATCTTCCGCTCTATATCTATATTTAAGAATCTATTTACAATCATGGCTCAATATACATATATATACAGGGCCGCCAAGGGCCAAGAGGTGGGTGGATAGGTGGGTGAGTGATGAGTTATGGCTCATGATCATGGCAAATGTGTGAGGCCTAGCAGGAAACCAGGACCACAAGATGGCGCAGGACAATATCGGGGCAGCGGAAGTCACTCACCGCCGCCGCCACCGCTGCTGCTGCTGCTTCTGCCTCTTTTTCTTCTCGTCCTGGCGGTCATGCGGGAGTAATTTAACCTGGATGATGTTGTCGCGCATCCATTCGAGGGTCAGAGGCTCCTCGCGAGCGAAAGCCTTCTCGCGAGCCAGTTCCTTCCATTCGAGATCCACAATAGTCGCAGCGTCGAGCATCGCCCGAAGTGATACCTGAGGTTTGTAGAATCGTGCCACATCCATATCGCGAGCAAGGATCGCCTCGCTGACGTTCAGCTGGTTATTCCGCTCCGTGGGATCAACCTGGATGCACAGATACTTCACCGGGTCTGCGGAATATTCGGCCGGCAAGCCTTTGAGCTTATAAAACCTCCCGCCCGAGGTTGGCCTGGGCGACCCCAGATCGATTCCGAGGATGAGCCGCGCCGCGACAGCCCTGCGGAAGGTTGTCTCCGGGCCAGCTTCGTGCAGCAGGGATTCATAGACTCGCTCGGCAATGCGTGAAGCCGCATGTCCTCTCATGCAGGCATACCGCCATAGCACACGGCAAATGTTGTAGTATCCGCCGTGCCATGCGTGTAGGAAGAGTCGCGTCCAGCCGGCGACGTTGAGTTCTCGCGCCGGATCCTCCATGGTCTGGTACATGTATTGCAGGGCCTGAAGGATGTTGCCCTTGTTGCATGTGCCCACGAGAAGATAAAAAGTGTAAGGCTCGATACGTAAGCCATTCTGCCTGCAGAATTGGAACAGCTGATCTCTCGCCTTCAGATGATTCACTCGCATGACGGCGCACATCATCTGGTTGACCATACTCGGGCTGAACATCGTGCTGTCCCAGTCCCGGGCTATCTTTTCCAGAAAAGAGTTCATGTCGCCGCCGTTATGGAGATGCTCCACCAGTAAGTCGTGTAACACCGCGCGCAACGCTGTCCGCTGCAGCGTGGTCTCCTGCAGCATCCCTCGCTGCCGTAGACTGTTCACTACTGCCATCTTCTTGGTTGGAGAAACAAAGCAGTCAGCATAAGCAAGCCAGGTCTCGACATCTGCGCGGATGCCCAGATTTTCCATACCATGCAAGAGGTTCCTGAACCGCTTCAGGTTCTGCTCGAGGGCCGTCGACCTGAGCATCATGTTGAAGGTTTCCACGGTTGCAACATGTTTCGCGGAGTGGAAAATCTGGTGTGCAATCCAATACTGCTTGCGTTCTAGCAAGAACGACAGGGCTTGATTCAACGACGCTGTTGAAGTCAATTCTGTGTGGGCGCTTTTCAGGAAAAGCGTCTCGAGAGCATCGGCCACATCCGCACCGTGCTTACCCGGCTGCTCCCTGGAGTTGGGCCAAGACGTAATGAGATCCTCCACGTGGTGCGTAAAGTCCCTCACAGTAGCTAGGAGCTCTCCCTGGCGGATAATCTGATCCACAGTGAACTCCGTGGGATCCTTGGGCATATCCCACGTGCCCCGAACCAAGGGTATGTCTTTGTGTATCCGTCGGTCAACCCGAGGGTAGATGGGAACCACCGGTTTACGCATGTCGACGACCGGATCATATTCATCTTGTAGGGTCCCGATCTCCAGCAGTTCTTTCTTGACCTCCTCCACGGCCGCCGGTCGACCCTCCAAGATCACCCGGCGACACATCCCGACGCTCTCCGACAGCGGCTTAACATGCACCTTGCACCCGTGATATACATGGCGATAGAAAATGTTCTCGCCCCTCGACACCAAGCCGGCGAATTCGGCGATCGTCTCCTCCCTTAGATATAGCTCCAGCTGGTTGGACTTCAACGGAGCGTTTGCCGGAATTGCTCGATTCATCCGGAGCATCCTCTCGTAAACCGCAGCCTGGTCCTTCCACCGTCTCTCTATCGTTTTCTGTTGGTTTTTGCGCGTGTTGTCGAGTTCGGATTGTCGGTGTTGTAGTTTCTTTTTGTCGCGGGGCGAGATCGAAGACAGCGCGGCAAGACTTCTTACCCGCGGTGGCGTCCATCTCGAAGTGTTGTCGGACGTCGGTTGAGGGAGGGGCGACGTCCGTGAAGCTTGAGGCTTTGCTTGAGGCTTTGTGGCTTCCTTGTCCAAGCCACGTCTTCCGACGGCAATGGAAGAAGAGGTTATTTGTCTAGACGAATAATTTCCGGTCGAGGACTGCGGGGAGAGTCGGGGGGCATTGGGTCCACGTTTGCTAGGGCGATGATATTGTCTGGATAAACTAAGAGCGGGGTTTCTTGTCAAGGCCGACCCCCGATGCGCGGGCAGAGACGTAAACCAGGATGGATAAAGAAAGAGGAGTGGCTCATCGGGGGCAGTCGCGACGTGGTCCAGGACAGCAGGTAATCTGCGCCTCGTGAGATATGGCCGACTGCGTGAAAGCATTGACGAGAGCCCGTAGGGACTGACCCTAGGCAAGAATCAGGGCCAGGGGGTTAAGGGTAGAGGGAATTGAGAAAGTTGTGTCTGGAATATTAGTGGAAGGGTAGAGGCAAGGCAAGATCAAAGCTCCGGTGGTCACTCCGCTGCGGAACCTAGAAAATGTTTTTCCCGGCCAAGGCGGTCAGTGAACGGCCCGAGGTTTTGTGCCCGTCGCCGCCAGCACTCCGCTTTCATTCTAACAAAGGAACTGTAGTAGCAGGACAAGAAGTACAAGCTCTCCACTGAGATTAAAAATATCCAAGAAATGTTGATTAATGATAAAAGTACCGGCAAAAACAAGGGGGAGAAAACACAAGCTGCTCCATGACACCAAGCTAATTCAAGATCATGAAATCCCAACATTAAAAAAAAAAAAAAAAAAAAAAAAAAACAAAGCGCCATGCTACCCATGCAAGCAAAAGCAAGCCGTCATGAAGTATACTGGTAAATATGGCCCTCACGCCCTACTTCAGCTGCTTGGGGGATTCCTTTGATTTCACCCCCGTCATCCATAGGACGGAATGAGACTTTGCCGGAGTACTTCGACAACAAACTGCCTCTCTTCGGGGCTGGAGTCAGGTCCAGCATCCCCGCCTCCAGGTGCCGGTTATCGAAATGCAGCACTTCAGGCCCCGTGAGATGACGCCGGGCTACATCTGCAGCTTTCTGAAGGTGATCGCGTTTACGCTGGAGCTCCGCTGCCTCCTTTCCACTTGCTTCAGAGCTACTCTGAGACAGCTCCTCGACGACATCGGATAAGCGGGTGAAGTACTGCCACCGAGAAGCCTGGAAGACAAACATAGACATGATCTCCGGGATCTACCATCAAATTGACATCAGGACTTGTGTCTGACGGGCCAAATGAAGAGCAGGGTAGGTTAGAGAGAGAGAGAGGGGGAAAAAGCTTACCTTTCCATCCAAATAAAAGAGCTCGTCCCCACCCTCCTGCATAAACTGCTCCAGAGCGTCCATCTTCTCCCGATCGACTCTGGCCACTCGCAACGCATGCATCAAGGCCGGGATATTGGCGATCTCCTCCACTGGCACCTCCTCCTCTACCTTCGTAGCCGCGCGACTGAGATATCCGGACGTGGCGCGCGACAGGCCATCCGTGCTCGGCGCCCTCGTCTTCGCCTTCCCCGAGTGGATCGTGAAATAGTCCTCGTTAAGCATGTGCGCCACCTCCAGACCCGACCGGCCCCGACGACTGCGCTCCGACACGCGCTTCACTCGGAGTCGGACCCATCGGCGACGGCGCACGTACGAATGATACCAGGGATGCGACCCATGCCAGGCCGACGAGCCGAACGAGAAGGAGTACTGCCAGCCCTGATCATCCACATCCCCGGACATGTCCACGTACCAGGTCTTCCAGACCCACTCCCAGCTGGGGTCCGGGAGCTGCGCTTTCGTGATGTCGACGGCGCTGTCCCGACCGTCGGGCGTCGTCCAGGCTGCCGGGTCGAAGTTGAGCAGCGAGCTGTGCGAATAGAGGGGGATGCCGAAGAAGAACCAACCCCGTTGGTTCTCGTACAGGATGTCCAGCTCGGTGCCGGGTTTCAGCCCCGATAGCTTGGGGTGGTTGTGGCCGTCATGTTCGTGATCTCGGACGCCCTGCTGGTCGACGTCCGACGAGTCGACATTGTGCTGGTCCTCCGGAGAGCTCTGCGACCACGAGGGGCCCGCCGCCAAGTGACTCTCCCCTGCCAGTGTGTCCGTTCGCGTCTCGGTCGTGAACAGGTCGCGCCCTTCGGACAGTCTGCGGTCGGAATTGTCCTCATCGTCGGTAAGACCCAGACGGTCCGGCTGCCATTTGGCATACTTGCGCTTGGCGAGCTCGCTTCGTATAGATGCCCGGGTGAACTTCCTCGAGATATTCCGAGAGAGGTCTGTTGTTGCGGTGTGCGATTGCGCCAGCGCATCGTCCGACGGACGACGGGGAGCGGTCTTGTCGACAAGACTGATCTTGATATTGCTTTCCATTGTTGTTGGGATATCTTCGAAGTGTACTAGCTCAGGTAATCACGGCCCAGCAGTGATCTCATCGCAGCAGCAAGACAACTTGTACCTGAACTGAAAAAAACAAAGAGAAAAAGCAAATGTTGTAGGTGGAGCTGAAGTTTACTGTGCGCAGCAGGGGTGATCGGCAGTCGAACCCCCTCTCCTCAGGACCGAATTTAGTATTGCAATTTAGGGATAAGGATGAAGGGAATAATAAAATTGATGTTATCACACAAGGCCAGGGGGGAACCCAAGAGTGAATTGCAGGATGATCGGCCACCACATCACGGAGAGATAGGAGTAGTTCATGCGTGGTAGTTAGTGTTTTAAGTGAAACCCCAAGCCCAGTTCCTCAGTTCCTCACTTGATCGATGACATCGTTGTGGGGGCGCGCCGATCGGCACTAAAGAACTGTGGTGGCTGCCTGGTCAGCGCCTGAGGCATGACTACCTTTTTCTACCTTGTGCCTAAGGCACCAACTGGAGGGGGTAAACACTATCTATCTCTCCGTACCGCGGGTGTATCTCCGAACCATCATCACCTCCAGATAAAACAAACAATCAATAAACCCCAACACCAAACGCCAACCCCTCCTCACTTAAACACCACCCCTCCCCCCAAAAAGTTACATAGCACCATCCAGCCTTCTCCACCCCAATCCCCTCCTCTCATACCCATTTCCACACGAAAAGAACATGAGCGACTCGCACCACCGCAAAATCGAACTCCAATCCCCAGCCGACCTAACCTACCTCTACGGCAACACCGTCGCGCTCTCGCGCCAAAAGCTCGACCTCCACCTACCTCCCTCCGCCAATCCCAACGATGGACCGGATCCGATGCGCGAACGTGTCCGCGAATTAGTTGACAAGGTTGGCCTCCCCCCCCTTAAAAAAAAAAAAAAAAAAAACAGCATCCCTCCCACACAAAAACCCAATAGTTAAGCTAACCCACTTCTTCAAACAAAAACAGTACATCCTCCGCACCTTCACAAGCGCCTCCTACTCCATCACGATCAACGGACTCGATTCCTCCTCCAAAGAATTCCCCTTCCCCGCCTCGTTCACCGCCCCCACCGAACAGGTCGAGTATGAGGCGTATGACGCGAAGCTCGCGGCGCGGGTGACCTCGCTGTACGCGCAGCTGGAGTCGTTGACGACGACGGTGGCGCAGTTGCGGCGAGACGCGCCGGGAAGGGCGGCGAGGGCGTATGCGGAGCACTTGAGGAGGGTGATTGAGGAGGAGATGGAGGAGGCAGAGGATGTTGAACTTGAACTTGAGATTGGAGAGGGGGGAGAGGGAGAGGGAGAGGGAGAGCAGGAGAAAAGGGATGATGGCATGGATGTTGTTGTCGGTGAAGAGGCGGAGCAGGATAATGGGTTGAAGGAGGAGAGTGAGGCAGTCAGTCTGGATAGAGCAGCGGAGGATCAAGAGATGATGGGCGCGGGCACGGGAACAGTTACGGCAGCGGCGGCAGCAGCAGCAGCGTCGAGAACAGATGGCGAAGGACGTGATACGGAAATGGTTGATGCACTTGGAGGCGCTGAGGTTGGTGCCATGGATGGGTCAACAACACCACCACAAACAAGAAGGTCGGCTCGATTGGCGCGGCGCGCAAAGTTGCAGGTTCCCCTGGGCACGAAACATGAGGCGGAGCGCTGGCGCAGTGGCGATATAGCGGAAGTCTACGAGGATGCCTTGCGCACTCTGCTTCGACTGCAGGGTGAAGCTCTGGCCGGGCAGGCCGCTACATCGGACGCTGAGGGTGCAGACGGGAACGCTCTGGCTTCAACTCTGGGGAAGGCCGAACGCGCTGGTCGGGCGGTCGAGGTTGTGGAAAAGAAGAAGTGAGGGGGTTGTCTCGATGTCCCTGCCGTCCCTGCTCTATCCTCTCTTTCACTTTCATTTTGGATTTCATTGAATTTTCGTTATCGGTACTGGAATGGCGTCGGTAGCCTAGGTAGGCTTGGGATGATACCAAATTGATTTATGGTGCATTTTGTTGACTAGTGAATAGTCAAGAATTGTTGGATTTGAAGTTTGATTCAAACGGATTACTTATATCGTCTGTCGTATAATTGTTGAGAATGCTGTATGCAAACAAGATCTACGTAACTCTATTACAACCGCCGTGTAGCACTTTTATCGTCCACTCTGCATTACTCCCCACCTGCACTCCGACTTATATAGATGCACCCAAACACGCTCAGACAGTGGTTGAGATCTAAGCCCAAGAGACGACAAGAACTGAAATAGAATGGCAAATCGACAGGCAAAAGAAAAAGAACCATGCTTGTGCAGCCGTCACCGGCGCCCAACATGTAATGAGCTCAATAGACAGAGCCACTTGGGGGGTTGATCTGACATTGGGTGATGTATGAAATGGAAATTGGCTAGGGCATTAGCGGAACGACTTGCCCGGAAAGGTATGGGAAAAATGAAACAGACCAAGCAAATCTAGCAACAGAAGAAGGGATATAGATTGGCAAAATCGTGCCTGAAGCTTTTACCATATTGTTCCAATATAACGAAAACAAGAAAACGCATCGGAAAATGAGAAAGGCTCTATGCGCTAGGCTGGGGAACCTCAGCAACCGGCTCCTCGGTCTTGGCCACAGCCTGTTCCTCCTTGGGGGCAGCCCACTTGGGGGGCCTGGCCCACTCAGGCTCCTGCCAAGGTCCCATATCACTGAACTCGCAGCCGCCGCTGCACTTGCAAGAACCTCCGAACTCTTCGGGGAGATTCTCGGCAGGAACCTGTTCCAACAGCTCCTTCTTGTAGTTGCTGCCCAGAATGTGAATCTTGTTAACGGTAACGGGGTCGAGGAACTTCTTCACGAAGCTGAACACGCCGCTGAATCCCCAAGGAGCGTTGATCAGATAGAGCTTACCCAGACGCTCGGGGTAGTAGTTCTGGGAGACACCAGACGCCTTGCTGAGGTAGCCGTACACGGATGGGGCGCTGGTGATTCCGACGCCCTTGAGGTCCATGATAGTGCAGCAGGTCTCCAGGAGCTTGCCGGCCTTGCGCGAGCAGGCGGGCAGGCGGGGATCGGCGAGCTTCTCATACTCAGTCACGAGGTTCTGAAGCATACGGTCTTCGGTGGTGATCTTGTTCAAGGCAGTGAGATCGATCTTGCCAAGCTTTTCGATGTAAACGGGCCGGCCATCCTAAACGCATCAAAGTCATTAGCGCCGATCTGGAACCGCTTCGAAGAGCATGTTGGCTTAGTCCTGGGGGTCGTACCTTATCCGTCTTGTGATAGTACTGAGGGTAATACTCGAAGACCTTGGGCTTCTCGGTGTAGTCAAAAGTGCGGACCAGGTCATCGGTCCCGAACTCTTTCCGCCACTTCTCGCTGTCAATGAACCTTTTCACCAAAAGTGTTAGCCCGTTGACTTCTGTTTGGACATGATACCCGTCGTGAGAAAACAAAGCATGAGAGCATGCCAGCGCAGTGCCGCCATATTCATGTGCATCGCTTGCAGGGACGAATTGCCAGATAGGATGCAATGTAAACTAGACCTACATAGCTTTGGCAAGGGCGACATCAAACTTGCGGGCTCTCAAGAAGCGCAGCAGAGTCAAAGTGTCCAGTCTCTCGGTGTAGCCAAGCTGCTCCAGTTCGCTCCGGAGCTGTTCCACCTTCGCATCTTGCTCTGGGGTGGTGTGGCCGGGATGGCCAGACTGAGCCTCCGGCGCTGTGGTCGGGAAATCGTAGTTATCGTACTTGGAAGGAGCAGCCATTTTGAATATGTGTGAGGAGGGAGAGGGGGAAAGGGAGAGGGGTGAAAAAAGGAAAAAAGAGGAAGAGATGTGGAACGGAAGAAGTCAAGTCGGGTTTAAGAAGGACTAAACTTCCGTCGTGGATCGGGAAAGGGGAGGGGGAGGGGGAGGGAGCGGCGGAAGCAGAGTGAGTGGGGGAGGGAGGGAGGGACACTTCAGCGGGACGTCGTAGTTACAAGAGAGAGCAGAAGGGGGGGGGGAACAGAAACAATACGTAGGCTTCAAGGGGGTAAATGATAGACTATTTTATCTACTATTTATCTATTGAATCCGTTTGAGAAGGGGTGTATAATGGAGGCTGCAATGTCTGAGTAACTGATTGTTTAGTTGTCTTAAAAGACAGATCCGATTGTTATTAATTATCAACAACTGAACAACTAAGTTCATCCAAAGATCTACGGAGTGCAAGAAGGAGAAGAAGAAGAACCAGCCTGAATTCGATGCCTGAGAGAGGAGGCCTCAGCGAGGAGGCCTCAGCAACGGGCGGTCGCCGCGTCGCCTTCCCTCACACCTGCTACCGCTTCGTCTATTCTCACTCTCCCCTTAGTATTGATCAGCCGCTCCTCCTTCATAAATGAGTACCACCTTCGTATCACCGGTCTGGGATTAAGTCCTTTGATTAGACTGACCGACCGCTCGACCACTTGATACTTTTGGTGACGTAGGTGTAGCCTCTCACTGCAGATCCGAGTAGGGAGATCTGCCTCCTCAATTCAGTGGCGCAAAGTGCTTCTTCCTACGTTTCACGCCTGAAGAGCAAGAACAGCAAGATACGCATTAAGAATACTACTTGAGAAAATCGGTCTGAGCCACAAGTCACGTCGGGAGTATCTTCTTCATTAGGTGCCATATTACGGCAAGTGAACGCTAAATCCAATGGTTATAGGTACATATATAGACAGTGTGGCATAATACGGCATGGAAACGAGGCAACAAAAATATAAATGTGCACTGCAACTTTGGTGAATTGTCAGTGGCCAAAACAAATCTAGGCACAAATCATCATAGGATATAGCCCGTCGCAAAAGTGGACGGTTTTAGGAAAAACAATAACTGAAGCCATGGGCGCTCATCCTCGAACCGGCGAGGACAGCGCCTTTGCCACCCAGAGAACAACAGGCGTGCTCACCATATATTACCGCCTTGTATGGGCAACGGACACCAACTGAAAGGAGAACTGAAATCAGAAGTCATCGAGAAGGTTTCGATGATTGATCAAGCCCCATCTTGAAACATGGGGACAATCGAAGAATGTAAATCTCGGTCATCCATCCATCTCGAAATCATAGCGTAAAACGAACGGACAAGCCAGCAGCATCTGCTACGAGTATGGATACCAAATTGAAGCCGTTATTGCTTGCCGTCCGCTCGAGTTCATGTAAGTCGTCACGGTCATCGACGTGGAAGCCGAAAACCGAGGGCTTCCTACCAGCCCTTCTTCCGTGCAAATCGTTTGTTCAAAAGTGCGAGTACTTTCGAAACATTGAACTGGACGTACTCCAGGTCTAGGTCCTCCTGGTTGTCTTTCTGCATTTCCAACAAATCATCAAGCTTGAGATCCAGTTCCAGAAGGCCACGTGCACGACCTAGGTTCACCGAGTTAGCATAGAACTCACCAAAAGCCATAAGTCTGAAGTCTTCAGCTTACCTTTATAGTGGAGACTGATGACGAAGGTGCCAGGCAAAGGACTCTTGAACATGAAGTAGATATTCGCCCGACGGTTCTCAGGGACGTTGCTCTTGCGAATAACGCCCTCTTTCTCAAGCTGCTGATGTGTGAATTTGTAGGGTCCAAGTTCTTGATGCTTCTGCTGTTTCCGCTGCTTCCCCTCCGATTGACTTCGGACGTTGTGCAAGTACGACTTGTACGTTTCGAGCTGACCCACCAAGTAGGCATTGTGATCACGGATGGTCGCAAAGACTTCTTCCAACTTCTTCGTCTCTTCCAACACCTTTTCTTTCAGAGATCCCAGGTGCACCAGCTCCTGTTCCACCTCGTCGCGGAGAAGACTGAAATCGTCCGACCGATCAATCACTCCCATCTCCTGAAGCTGGCTCAACAATTCCATGGTGCGAATGCCCTTCTTGACCATGGCCGCATCGCCAGTCTTCGAGGTTGCCGCCGCCTCTGCGATGCGATAAAGGCGAAGGGGGCGCCGGGCGACAGGAGAGTCTGGCGGCAAAGACCGCAAGATGTGAACAAATGTGGACTTGGCTTCCATGAAGAAGACTTCTTCTTGAGTGATGTCGAGGGCCGAGGTCAAATCATCCAGTGCAGTGGTTTCCCAGCGACTGAACAAGGGGACTGTGATGGTCCTATTCTCCTTGCGCGGAACCTGGGGCGGTGCTGTACCAAGCTCCTGCAACAACACATGGAGGTGAGAATGTTGATCTTGCGCCAAAGCCACATTGTGTTTCTCCAACAAGGCATGTGTGGCATACATCTCATTGAGAGTGATCTGCAACTCCAAGTCGCGCTTGGATAGGGCTATGTAGTTGTCCATCTCCAAGCTCTCGTAGAAGTCCTGCACTTCACACAGATCAAGCATAAACTTATTGACTCGTTCTTTGTTCTGCTCAATGAACGGTTGCAGTTTCGCCATATAAGGCTCCTTCGCATACGAGGGCTTGTTTGCCAGATTCTGAAGCATCTTGGCGATCAACGTCAGCGTGCGACGGGGCTTTTCCGTCGGAGTCGATTCAATCAGCATGTAGGAGCGTGGGGTGACAATGGCTGGGTTGATGAAGCGAAGGAAGAAGAATCCACCAATGAGGGTGCAGATCGTCTGGTCCTGCGCATCAGGGTATTTGCGACGAGACAAGCTCCGAATTTGCTTGCAAATCCACCGAATGCCATACGGGGCCTCGTCCACGTGATCGATGATCGTTGACAGGAACTTGTTCGCTAACTCAGTAAGCATCTTCAAGCGCGGCTCAATAATGGCCTGCACCTGCTTATTCTCTGCTGCAGCTTCCGCCGTGACAGATCTTGCGAGGTAGTCAGGCAGCGATCCATTCTCTTCTTCGATTTCCTTGACCATGGTCTCATAGACCTTGAGGGGGTTGATTTCCAAGTCGACATCACGTAGCTCAATCAATGAGTTGATCTGGTCGGCGAGTACTTGTTTCAGGTAGCTTTGACCGGGCCCTCGTCGCGTATATGTAGTCATCATGCGTGAGACGGGGGTGTTCTGGCGGAGGAGGGACGAGTACTCCGGCGTGTTATCAAATTGATAGGTAAGAACAGACTGAAACATGGTGAGAAGCAGATGCTCCTCACGACTCTCATACTGGTTTCCGTAGATTGTGAACATGACCGTCTGCAGAAGGGAGTCGATTTCTGACATGGAGACTAATCGGCACAGATGGGCGATATGCCGCGGCTCGGATTGGAGGAGGAAGAGAAGATTACCGTACTTCTGAGTTTTGTCGTCATTGGGAAAGAACCCCTCCTGGGGATCCAGGACTTCGTCGAGGTGGCTCGCAACTTCGTTTTGCTAGACTCAGAATTAGAGGTGGCAAAATAAACAACAGTGGCTGTCGGATTCATACCTCTTCCAAAGCCATACGATTCTGAATCAACAGCGCAATCCGAGAATCCAGATATCGGACATCTTTTTCGAGAACGAAATTCTTCTTCGATTGTGAAGAGATATTCGTCTTCAACTCTTGCAAGAACTTCTGGGCTGTACCGTCCAACGTTAGAACAGACCGAGGGGGCATTTCAGACCACAACAGACTCACCCCTAGCTAGATCATCTGAAATCTCCAAGTCTCTATCCTTCGCCGACATTGACATGTACAGCGCATTCATTGACATCCGCTTCGACTGGCGGAGGGACCGCGTGTCGTGGGACGACATTGTGTTTTGACGCGTCATGGGTTGAAAAGACGAGGAAGATGAAGTAGACGTTCTGGAGGCAGGTTGTAACATGGTAGCAACCGACATTGTGTGAACAAAAGGAGTGTGACAGTGCGCTGGAGAGAAGCACTCGAATTGGCGGAAGTCGCGTATATACTACCAGCCACCAGCAAGAGCGCTTTCGGCGTCTTGTTATCGCTCTGTCTTGAGAAGGTCGAAGACCCAAGGTAATATGGCACGGCAACGTCGACGAAACGCAACCCGGTAATGTCGTGCGATGAAGTGAAGCCCCTGTTGAGCGCGTATGCGGAATATGGCCGAAGGCGACCAGCGAAGGGGAAAAAGTGCGCGACCGTTGGATCGGCGATTGAGTGGCACTGACTGACAGGTCTGGCGATAGGGAGGAGTGAGGGACCAATTTCGGGAAGTAGCAGACGTTGAACTAGCCAAAGTAAAGGATTGACAAGGAGCAGAGCGAGTTAGGAGCGATCCACAGGCGACGGCGATTCGAATACTCTCCGGCGGCTATAGGTCGGTTGGGAAGAACGAGGGAGTTGGTGGGAATAACTCCGAAAGAATTAGAGAGAGACGTTAGAATTAAAGGGATCGCAAGCTCGAAAGTGTGGGCAGGAGTGAATGATAAGTAGAGGCAAAATTACTGCCGTTTGTAGAAAGGGAGCGCAAGGCAAGGATGGGCAGGAATTAAATTAATAGATTGATGGAGATGGAGGCAGAGGAAAAAGAGAGAGGGAAAGAGACTGGAGAGAGGGAGGAGTAGAAGGAGTCGTCTCGTCGGAGGGGGGGCAGGAGGAGAAAGATGCCGGTCGGACGCAGATGGAAATCAGGGCCACCACCACCCAAAGTAGTCCTAGTTAGTCGCAGTCCCGTCCTAACACCAGCAAGTATGAGCGAGTATAGTTTAACACTGGCGACAATGAATGCTGTTGTTGCTGGAATGGTGATATGGAGTGTCGTAGGGTTTATGTTACAGAGAACGGTAGGAATCAATTGAGAGAATGAACGACAGAATTCTAATTAGACTTCTAAACTGACGAGAAGGAAAAGAGGGTGTGATGGTACTGAATAGTAAATCAGTCCTAAGGTCAGAGGGAGAAAGAATGGATGGCTGGATGGGGATCAGAGGGGGGGGGAGAAGGATGGATTCATGGATTGCTGGTTCTGAGGTCAGTTTGAGTTGGAGAAAAGTGGGCAACCCAAGAACCAAAAGGGAAAGGCTAAAAAGAGTAAAATAAGATAGAATAAATTGTGAATTTAAAAGTGAAAATGATACACATGTACGGAGTACGGAGGAGTACTGAAGATTTGGAGGGAGGGGGAAGGAAGGGGAGAAGGGAAAGATAAAAAAAAAAAAGAAATTAAAAAAAAAAAAAAA